GTGTCAATTATATCATCAGTTATATCGTTATCGCAAATTTTCAAATGTATATCGTGATAAATATTTTTGGTCATATCGCCCTGCTCTGGTCTCCACCGCTTGTTTCCAGTCACAAGGAATCAGTACAACATGTTTTCATTGAATGTATTCTCATGTAAAGTAAAATAGACAAAAGGTCCTTTATGGTGTGAGTCCTTTGTGAATGGTCACTATTGTGAAGCACTTATTTACACTTATTTATTCTTCTATTAAAGGCAACATCAGTGCCTAGTAGAGCATTAAATCTACATGTATAGAATCATCCATCAAAGCTGATTAAAACTATTTAAACAACGTTTAGTGACTTTGGCCCAAAATAAGATTCTAAAAAGCTGCAAAACTGGAATCTTATAAAAATAATCCACAAGCAGCGGTGATGTCACAGTGGCTATGTCCATTTTGTCTTATGGAGACAATAGTCAGGTCATCCCACATCAATTGTATAGCTCATAATATAACAAAATTAAATCTACAGCTTTAGCACAGATCTTTTTACAGGACAGGAACAATGTTTTAAGTTTCCTGTATTATTCCTTTGCTTCTCAAAGACCAGTTTACTTCACCCTCATCGTCTGATTAGATGGATCTGAGATACTCACCCGCTCTAAGGTGATTTCTTCAAACTCATATTCAATTTCTGTGCCGTTGACCTGAGGAATGAAAACACTGAATGAAGACACACACTTCATAGTTTCAGTCCACATTAAAAGGGGATAAAGGATGAGGTTAAGTGATGAGGCCGAGCTTAAACTGAATGTGACGAGTGTTTCTCAGGGAAACGTGTAAAGTAGAGACTGTCTCATGGACAACAATTTATGATTGGTTATCAATGTAACTATTTTTTTAATGTGGAGGGTCAACTACTGAGAGGTCAGTCTCATGTAGTGTACTTAATAAAAGTAAAGTAAAATAAAACGTAATAATAAATTATCAGGGAATGCATCTGTCTCTACTTGAGTAACCTAACAAGACTATCAGGAATAAACATTTTAAAAGATAAATTCTCTCACATAAGGAAGCGACTCCAACGTGTCTGTATTGATGATCATGGGAGCAGGGTTGGCCTGTAATGAAGACAGATGAGGAGAAAACGTGAGAAACTTGAGTTTTACAGAAAAACCATCAATCATGACTGTTCATACATAGTTTGGCTGCTGACCTTGAGAGGAGAGATGTGAGAATGGGACACGTAGCCGTGCACATTTTCAATCTCTGACAGGTTCTTCTGTGAAACATGGACAAGCTCAGGAGCGCGAAGCCCACTGCTGAGCTGTGGGAACCCGTGGTCAAGCAGGGGCGAGTCGTCTTCTTGGTAGTGATACTGCAGAGAGTGGAAAGGGAACAAAGAGAAAGACAAATGATTTAGTTTAAAACAGGTCACAGGAACAGGAGAAACAGGAATCACAGGAGATATTGCAAAAACAACTAGTCTTGATCAACTTCAGCAAATTCATGTTTTGGAGATTATGTATCTGAATTTCAGGAGCAG